TACGGTGGAGTCCCATATGGATAAACTTCTTCAGGAAGATTATTTACAATGGGGTGAACATCCATAATATAATATATTTATAACAATACCATATTTGTTTTACTTAAATGTAAAATATTATTTTGGACAGATGATGTTGATCATGATATGGAGTATGATTAAAACATCTTTTTGACAATACAATGCGGGTGGAGATCCCCTTCATTGATAATTTGTTCAGTATTGCTCAATACACTTACTGATTTGTGCCATGTGTCTACCCAATCAATTTAAGGCTGAGATTAAATAGGTCACTAAACAACTAAAAATAGTAATACAATTTCATATAAATAAAATAACAAAAAGTTTACTGCTAATAGTGTCAGTCTAGTTTCACCTTATTTGAACTTTTCTCTCACTCAACACAACATGCAGGCCCCACCATGATGTCATAACTAGTAGAATGATGTTCCCGAATACATTTTAACTGCTACAAGTGATTTCTTAACTTTTGGAATTGGCCTTTTCTATTTATTTATTTTCTTCTTAAATGAGACTTGACAAATAACACAATAAAAAATTATCTCTTTCATTCATGTTGACACAAAAGCATTTGAATAATAGATTTAACTGAAGTTGTTAAAATGCAATAAACAACCTTTAATAATCATCCAATTATTTCTAAAGTCCAAAGAAGCTACGGATGTACTTAAATAACATGTCCAGTATCTTAAATAAAATAATAAAAATCAACTAGAAATAAATTTAACATAGATCACAGTAAATTATTATCTCGAAACTCTTGTGCCCCTTGACTCTCGAAAAAGCTNGTTCTCATCTTTTGTTGAATCTTACGAATAAATATAAGAAATATTATAATTGTGTAACATTATAATAGTTTGTCAATATGAAATATTCGAATTATGAACTGAAATAAAATATGATATACCTAGTTGATACAATTTCGCTTATCAATTTTAGTTCTATCATTAACTGTAGATCCATCTTGATTAATAGAATCTGACTTCTTTCATCGAGCTTTCTTACTCTTTGAGTTCGCTTCAAGAGAAGTTTTGATCCTCTTTTTTAGACGTTTTGTGTTATCTTTATTTTTAAAATTGTTGGCTCGTGAGAGGAGATCTCTGTCATTATTTTCTTCTGGTAAATCTCTCGTTGAACCAGTAGTATGGAGAGATGGAGCCGTCACCTCCATAATTTGTTTCAATCTTGTGCTTAACTCATTTGCACATATTGCCGCTAGCTTATAGCCTTCATCAGTTTCAGAAGCTTTAGCTGTCATTCTAACAAATATAGGACAAAGGATTCTATAGCGATTCACAACGATTAGCTTTGAATCCTTTATCTCTATATCTTGCCCATCAATTTCTTTAATATTTACGACTTTTGTAGTTTTTGTCCATCTTTTCAAAATATACTCATCTGGAATTTTATCCACTCCTCTTATCACATCAAGAATTCTTATTGTATGACAACAAAGTATACCCATAGACTCAAACTTCATGCAAGTACAAGATATATGATCTGCCTCTGTCACCTTAACAATTTGCTCTCGAGTGTGCCCATACTTGCTAACCTTATACATGATGGGAAAATTATTTTCCTCACATCCATTCACTTTGATTATTAAAGACTTCATATATTCATCTTGAAACTTCGAAAAACTATTTGGTGTATATACCTCTCTAGCATGAAACAAAATTGGCACCTTTGCTTTTAATATTGGCAACCGTAATGCATCACATGTATCTTGCAGCTCATTATATCTTTTGTCCTCAATTGCTCTATCATAATGCTTAAAAAAACTGTACCAAATTATAATCAGACTGCAAATAATCCTTTAATTCACTATTCAAATTCTCACTTAATTGTGTGCTATTCATGCCACCCGAAAAGGTTTGTTTTCTATATGCTGCAAATAATTTTTCTCTCAAAGCATATATTCCTTGCAACCATTCATTTTCATGAAGATTATATTCATCAAGCATACTAGTCCAAGCATTTATAAATTCTCCTTCATCCTCATACTCATAAATGCATTTTCGAAAATCACCACGGAAAGAAGCGTACCTTTTATAAACTTGATTGAGGTGCTTTACAGCATTTTGTTCCATGTGCCAAACACACAACCTATGATGAACTTCAGGCATGACGAATGAGATGGCCTTACTCATAGCAGCATCTTGATTTGTAAAAATAGTTTTTGGTGTTTTTCCAGACATTGCTCTAAGAAATATTTCGAACAATCATTGAAAAGATTCTGAAGTCTCATCATACATCAGTGCACCTCCAAAAACAATCATTTTTCTATGGTTATTAAATCCAACAAAACTAGCCAAAGGTCTATGCTCTTTATTTGTCTGGTACGTAGTATCAAATGAAAGCACATCTCCAAAAATCTCATAATCTATTATCATCTTAGAATTTGCCCAAAATATGTTCGTGATCATATCATTAAATTCAGCTGTACCGCAAAAAAGAAAGATGGATCTTCAACTCTTTTTTTCTCAAAATATTCTAATAGTACTCCTGGAAGAAAATACCAAAAATAAGTATGTATGTGCTATTTTTAATATGAGAAAATTACATTCCAAAGACTAAATAAAAAATTATAGGCAATTTGAACAAGTAATTTACCTGCTTCTCCTTGTCCCATAGCTTTTTGCCTTTTTGTTTGAAGGTAGTTCTTACGATCTAACTTAGTACAGCCCAAATTTGCTCTGCCACCAGCTTGAAGACTCATAAAATCAAAAGTTCCTTTAGAAAATAATCCAGCATCCTCCGCCAAATCGATTTCATGAGTTTGTATGTCGTTCAAATTTCTGTGAGATGGCAACATGTGAATCATTGTCGGTAGAACGAGAGGATGGTTATGTTCTAACTCAACCTTAGTAATATGGTACTTTCCAACAAATTGGCGAGTAACAACAATATGAGCTTGGCATCCTGTTCTAGTCTCTTTTCGTGGATTTTTAGCTTGATATTTTCGTTTATCATCTCCACGGAAACCCTCCTTGAAACATGTAAGCTTTTGTGATGTTACATAACACAATTTCTTATTTATGTTCACGTACTCTTTGCGTACACTAAAACCAATCCTTTTTTTTGCATACTCATTGTAAAAGTTAAATGCACTCTCATTGTCGTCAAACTCAAGATCAAGCGCAGGCTCACGATCTATTGGCCCTTGAAAATTATTTTGTAAAACTTCTTCGGCAATAGCTTCACACTTGCTTTCTCCAAAATTGTCCATTATACTTCAAAAGAAAAAGAATACAAAACATAGAAACATCATTAAGTTTTGAATAGTTTAGCTAGAAATATATAAACTTGTTGTAAATTTATTAAAAAAAATTATTTAAACTTGTTGCATTTAAATTCTAATATGTAATGGAAAAAATATTATACTAGAACAGATGTAATGCATCTTCCAAAGAATATAAAATAAGTACAGTACCTTAATTAATCAAATTTAATAAGACTAAATAAGTCTAGTAAAAAAAAGAGTAGAACCTTGTCTTTCAAAAATTCTTCAACTGTTACGAAGTTGATCTTAATAACAATGGCGCTTTTGGTTTCCTAGGAAAAGAATAGAAGGCAATATTCTTACAAATCTACAATATATAATTAGTTAGAAAGATAAATGCAGATCTTTGATTTCTTATTCATAATCTTTTATAAAAGGAATGAGATGATGGACTGTTTTTTGGCGGTTAAATAATTGGTAAGATGAATTTCCGCCACTTTAATTTTCTTTTACTTTTCTTACACTTATTTTATGGAGATCATTTTACTAGTTATGACATCATGGTGGGGCCTGCATGTTGTGTTGAGTGAGAGAAAAGTGCAAGTAAGGTGAAACTAGACTGACACCGTTAGCAGTAAAATTTTTGTTATTTTATTTATATGAAATTGCATTACCATTTTTAGTTGTTTAGTGACCTATTTAATCTCAGCCTTGAATTGATTGGGTAGACACATGACACAAGTCAGTAAGTATATTGAGCAATAATGGACAAATTATCAATGGAGGGGATCTCCACCCATACAATGCTATTTGCCAAATAGAAGGAATGGAAGTCTCTTGTAGCGTAGCGGAAGACAGGGCATGCAGGGAATGGACATTTTTTCTCTTTCAAATACCGCTTTTAAAATTATGGTGCAATCAACTTCTTCTAATTAATTAGATGATTGTTTATCTTCTGAATGAACGCCTAACTATTTCTTTAGGCGATTTAAGATATTACTCCAATTTATATAATTTTATTTGATTATGGACATATATA